CCTCTCTATGATATTCTGTTTATGTTAATTGTGTTCTGTAGGAGCTTCATGAATGTTAATCTCTCTCCTGTTTGTTAAACCATATTTTATCACTAATTAAATGTAATATCTTATAAAAGACATTCTGATTTCCTTATAAAGATTCTTATAGTCAAAGTGAAATGTGCATTAAGTGTAAGTGTGTCTTTTTGCTGATAAATCAGGAATGGAATTGGTCAAGTAAGTACTGCTGTTACAGTTCTGCCATACATTTAGATCTGTGTTTTTACTGTTACCAGTGCAAATCTCAGTTCAACTCGAATGTCAGTAGTAGTGTTAAGGTTATGTAAAGTAGTTGTGTTTTTAAGATGGCTTATTTGCTTTGAGCTGTATTATTGAAAGTTTTTATACTAGGAAAGAAGTTAAGGTGCTCCCGCATAACTCTACCATCTGACTTATTTCTTGTGACTTCTGGTTATTCACAAATTATTTCAGTCAACAGACTGCATATTAATCAGCCAATAACTGCACTGAGGACATTAATTTACAACTGGGGAAACATACTGTGAAGAAAGTAGCAAGTAAATGTTGAAAGTGAGCAACAGTTGTGTGCTCTCTTTCCACGAATTTGGAATGCACCCTGGAAGTGTAATAGTAAGTAATTCAGTGATTTTTTTAAAGGGGTGCGGAGTTAGCATGGCAGGGTCGACCATTGCAGCCCACAGAAGACACACTACGAGTGAGTGTAAATGAAGTATCATGTGGTGGAAACGAGACTACTTTCTCTGCATGCCAGCTGGAACCTGGACAGCAGTGTGTGATAGCTAGAGATGCGGTTGGTGTCCGTTGCTACAAGAACTGGGCTTCTCAGTGCCGTCCTGGTGAAGTAAATCATGGCGAGAGATGCTATAATTTGGTGGTTCCTAGTGTACGCCATGCTGTTGAAGGCTTCAGTCATGGAGAGGCGCTTAGAGACTGCCAGTCCAAAGGATCACAACTCCTTGACATTACTTCCCAGGTGAGATCATGTTTCTTTCATAAACTAAATGGAATTAAACTAAACTTTGTAATGTAAGTCCTTGACAACAGCCAAACAAGACTAATTACTGTCAGGCACTGAAAAAATAATAAAACAATAAATTCTAAAAAATCCAATAATACATCTTAATATGTAAGATTTGAGATTTACACAGCGGTGAATATGATCTACAAATATTGTAAAATATCAACAAAAGGAAAACAGGTTCCAAATATACAATATAAGGCCTACAGAATATGAACAAAAATAAGTTGAAATGGAGTTTAATTATAATATACATTTTGTTTTAAATGTATCAAAAGAAGTGATGTCTATAGAAATTACTGCTTTTTATGATATTTATGAAATGTCAGTAAATATTTTTTTCAAAACCTGCATTTTCCTCATGTTAGAATCTCTGACAGTCTTGTTGATTATTGTCAGCTCATTATCAAGGCACATTATCAAGGCACATACGGACACATCAGAGGCAGAAAATTATGAAACATTATGTGGCGGACCTTGACATGGAGTGTATGTTCCCAGTCCTCCACTGAGTGATTATGTTAAATGTGAACCTATGGAGACAACCAGGCAGTTAATAGGTCTGAAGGAAGCTCTGTCTGTTGTTGCAGGAAGAGAGTGACTTCATATCTGAATGGCTGCTGCAGATTCAGCCAAACATAACAAACATTCTTACTGCAGGTGTAGGTGTGTCTGTATTTCAGCGTCCATTGTGGGTTTGGGAAGGGTCTCTTGCACCATTCAAATTTACCAAATGGTGGTCAGGTATGTCCCAATAGATCATATTTAAAATAAATCACATTTTGACCCTTTCACTAGTCAAAGTTTTTCATGGTTCATACTCTGGTTTATGGAAAGAAGGAATAGCACGTGACAGTTTAACAGCTACACATTGGGTTTTTATTTTTTAAAGAAAATTATCACTATCTGTTGATGAATTTTTCCAACTATCAGTTTAAAATGTCAAATTTAGTGGAATTTGCTGATGTAATCATCTCTATGGTATGTGTCACAGGAAAGGTGAAGAACATTTTGTTATTCTTATTGACAGATATCTGTGTTGTAATGTGTCAGGTACACCAACTCACCTGCAACAAATGTATAATGATTGTGAAAGTGTTAAATTATCCTGGGTTTGAGGAAAAAATACAAAAGAGATTTCTTATATCATAATTTGTGTTAGGTGTGGAGAAAAGTCTTTATAAATCTAGAGTAGACCGACTGTTAAGATCAAGACTTACACTTATTCAACCAGTCCATTTAATGTAATGTAAGATTGTAAAATGAAGTATGTGAACAGTGAAATATGAATTTCTGCTTATTAGGTTGGACAAACAACCTGAGGAGCCCACCTAAAACAGGGGATAGGCCAATCTGTATTGTCGCCAAGCGTGTCTTCCCATGTGAACATGCTTACTACACGAGTGATGGCATCAGTGATGTTGGCATTGACTCACATGAACATCAGAGAGTCAGAATGTGTGCTGCAAATTATTTCTACTGGGACACTGAAGACTGTAGCATCACACACAGCCATCCTTACGTCTGTGAGAGACCACTTGATGATATTGGTGAGTCAGTTGGAAAGGTAACGTAATTTACTTTGTATGTGGGAAGGCCCAAGTAAGAAATCTTGGTCCAAAGGTCAGCTATTTTGTGTGAGGTTTTTAATAGTTTTTCTCAGTCCCTGCAGGCAAGTTCCTAAGTACAGTTGCACATCCTTGTCGATGTACCATTCTGAAATCATTATACTATTTGATGGTGAATAACTGATGCAGTTTAAAAAGTGTTGTATAAATAAACCAAGAATCAATGGGAAGTACTTATAATGTTAACTTTTCAGTATGTTAACTTATTAAGAGTTTTGGTAATGGCTATGTGGCTAGTCTGAGAAATTGGTGTAGCTTCACTGGTAAGCATTGTGCGTCACTTCTGTGTAGCAACTCAAAACGAGCCTGACCAAGTTGCATTGCTTGTTAGATCCTCTCACTAAATTTGAAATTAATGTAGCTGAAAGTGACAGATAGATTAATGGGCAATCACTAATGTTACAGTCCAACGTTTTGGAGACTGTCTGTCTCCATCATCAGGGTAGTGTGTTGGATTGTAACTCCAAACTTCCATGGCTGATTGCCTGAGAAGTCTTTGTTGCATTTAGTTGTTGTGAAAGCTTCATATCTTGTCTAGAGTGAGTAGTGTGTTTAAAATCAGCTCACCTGCTCTGGTTATTTATGAATGTCCAGACAAACTGTCAAACTTCAAGCATAGTGCCTTAAATTAGGTCATTACTACTTCCTCCAACAGTTTCTCTAATTTATTGTTCACTAATGATCATATCATTCAATGCTATATAGTCTGAGCTGCTTATGGCATCATTAAATGAAGTACCAATTTTCCCACTGTATGCTGTAACTTGTGTGAATAATTGTAAGCACATTATTAATGTTTCAGGTTGTGTGAATGTAGAAAAGTACAATTACCAGGGTTCTGCTAATGTGACAGCTAGTGGCTTGCCCTGTTTACACTGGGACGACCCTCTAATCATTCCAAAGCTCAGCTACAGGGTGTCAGAGAGGGAGAGGAATACGACTCTCACTGGTCACAATTACTGTCGAAATGTAGGAGGTGAATCACAGCCATGGTGCTTTGCAGGGAAACAGAGGAATCGGCAACCATGTGCCATCCCATCTTGCTGGAACAAAGGTATGTTATTACTACGGTATTCATGCAACCAGTAATTATGAATATTATGGTTATAGTTGCATACCAGGTTATAAATTATGTTAAACAGTCTCCATTTGAAGACAGTGAAGACATTGCTGAGGAGGGTGAATGTAAGAGACAGAAGCCACATAACAAAGAATCACGCAATAATAATGAACCTTGTGTTGCTAAACGCTGGAAACGCCACATGTCTCTTCAGGGAGACTCAGTGAATGTGAAAGACATTTCATCCATTGGAATGCAGGAATGAGACTGCCATCATGAAGAAAAGATTGGTTATTGATAAATTTAATAGTGAAAAATTAAAAATTACTGAAACACCAATCATTGAGGATGTAAATAATTTGAAGCTCTTGAGGCTGTAGGTGATCAGATATCAAGCCCCATAGACATTGTGTTTAATCTGAACACCCTTCAGTTGGATTTCTAATGTGTTTTACTGTCAGGTTTGTTAGTTATTTGATAGTTGTTTATTCTCTGTAAATGTATTCAGTTTTAACTGTAGTCTTGTATTTTGTTATTTAAATTGGATGTATTTAATTTTTCTTAAGTTAGATGAGGTGAATGTCTTGCTGCGTTGTTACAGGCATTGAGAAAGTATTTACAGTGACTGCACGTGGGTGCAGACAAGGAGAGTTTAAGTGTCGATCTGGAGAATGTATCACAGACAGGTGGAAATGTGATGGCAAGAAGGTAAAGTACAAATCTATTCGCTGTTTTAATTTGGTTGAAAATGAAGGCATGTATGCTTTGCAGTTGTTTGTTTACCAGGAGTTATTATCCAGTCAGCAGCCTCTTAGTACAGAGGTTTAAATTCCTCTATTCCCATATATAATAAAAGGTTAGAATATATGGTGCCAATTCAGTATGGACTCAAATATGTCAGACAAGTTCCCTCGCTAAAACTAGAATGGAATCGGACAGAAAACAGTGTACTGTTCCTTGTAAATTCATGACTTAATTTTTCCAGGATTGTTCTAATGGTCTTGATGAGCGTGATTGTGGAGGCATTTTTGAAAATGTTTCTAAACATTCGAACCATCGTCTGGAGCATCATGATAGAGAGAAATGGCTGCAGACAGATGCTGGTACCTGTTCTCAGCATTGTCATGAAGCAAAGGAGTTTATCTGTAGATCCTTCAGTCATCAGTAAGATTGTCAGTTTTTATTTAGGTTAATGAAAGTAAATTTAAATATAAATGCTATTTCTCATGGTTGTTGGAATTTCTGGTTTAGGTACTCATCATCATTAGGGCTTAAAAAATATACAAATATACAATCGTTTGCTGTTTTGTAGATAGAATTGTTCCACAAAATATGCAGATGCCTGTATCATGATTTTATTTTTAACTTACCTACATGAAGCAGAGCCTTTGTGAAACTGATAGTTCCTGAGAATGACAAGCTATTACCTGCCTTTTATGGAGTGTGAAGGTTCTTTACTGTGTTCGCATGACAAGCTATTACCTGCCTTTAATGGAGTGTGAAGGTTCTTTACTGTGTTTGCTGTAGCTTGTTAGTGGATGCTATCCTAAGCCAAATTTAGAAATCCCACAAGTTAACTTTCTGGGTGTAAAACACCGTTAATACCAAAACTGAACATTAGACATAATACTGAGGTAGTTCCGGCAACCTCTCACCCGTAAAGCCTGTTTCTGCAATATTCATCTTAATGCTATCCTCCGAAATATTTCTTGGTCTGACAAATGGTTGCGTTGAATCAATTGCCCCATAAAATTATGTGTCATTTCTTGTTTGCCTTATTCTATTTGCATGTCTGGTAATTTTAAATGTTAATATATGCATGCAGGGTAACTCACAGATAACTGTCATTTTTATTTACTGGCCATGAAAGAGTGAAGTATTTGATGGATTTGACAGGAAGCAAGACTCAGTGTGTCTTCTGAGTGATAGTAATATTGGATTGTCAGGCAGTCTAGTGGCAGAAGATGGTTGGGACTATTATGAGGTGAAATCGCTGTCAGTCAAGTGTGATGACAAGTTCCACTGTGATAATGGAAAGTGTATCAACATAAGCCTGGTAAGCCTGGTTCAGTTTAACATATAACATTTACTTCTATAATGAAATTTACGCAATGTTTTTGGAATTTAAAATGATCGTTTTAGATATAAATTAATATCGAAAGAAGCACGGCGAGCTTGCTATATGCACGGCCGACACCATCGATGAGTCGTGTGACGATTGCAAAAGGGAGAGAAATGACGAGGAGGGGGAAGACGACGAATGGAAGCCCGAAGCTGTGCCGAGTTTTACTGAAGCACATGCCGCATTGGTGAAAAAGTGAATTCGTTCTTTTATGCGCACAATATTTTTGAAGGTGATGAGGAAAACGTTTTAAACATGGAAAGGGCTCTGTTTCGCTTAAAATGTAAAGTTATCCATTAAAGACTTCTTTTGGCAAAAAGAAGTAACTTTGAAACAGGTTTTATGTGTATTATTTTATGTATGCAAAAGAGAAAAATGCACTATTTTAAAGTTTTCTCATTTTTAATGCTTTCCCGCAACTGTCGTTTTCCCGTATTCATCGTTTTTATTTCTCTCCCCTGTCAAAAACAATGCATCGAGGTTTCACTGTAATTTATTGCAACTATCTTCAGTGTCAGAAACAAAATACTTTGTCAGCAGAGGTGAGAAATGTGAATTATTCATGTCTGTAGATTGTAAAGGTGTAATAATGGCCATTTATACAAGAACTTTGTTAATATTTTGTATAAAAATATGTAAACTTCCTTGTATTCGTTTTTATTAAATGATAGTGTAAGTCTCAGGTTACAATCAGGAAATGATTAGGCATAGGTTAACTAGAATAAGAATCAATAATTTCAGTAATACTTGTTTTGAATGGAGCAAACATTCTGTTTGTCTATACTTTTCAGGTATGTAATGGCAAGAACAACTGTGGAGATAGGTCAGATGAGAAGAATTGCTCTGCTGCATATCTTGATTACAGTATTCGGCTGGCAGGAAGTAACATTTCCCATGAGGGTCGTGTAGAAGTCAAAGGTGAGTAACAGGCTAAAAAGAGAAATTCTCTCTTTCACTGTGTTAGTTTAAATCCATTAATAAATAGTCATTTATTTCTGTACAGATCCTGTAATGAACTGTAATAACTCAGTCAGATATAAGCTGGATAACTTGTGTTTGATTCCCAGCTGGGACTGTAATTTTTCTTCTTTTCCCCATGTCCAAACTAATTGGAACCCACCCAGCCTGTATCTAGTGAGAAATTAGGGTTCTTTACCTTGGTGAAAAGTGGCCAGGTGGGAAGCTGACCAAAACGAGGTCTAGAATGAGTGGAACTTTACTTGTGTGCCACATTTATGCCTCACTAGCAAATGTTTGCCCGTAAGGAAACATTTTTGCTTCTTATTTTTCTGCTTATGTGTGTATACCTGACTCCTGGCAGTTGGATCAGTTAACATATTAGACTCACATATTGTTGTGTCTAATGAAGAAAGAATAAAGTGTATCTGACATAAATTTATAAAATATGTAATGTATTTTTGCAGTGTTTGGTCAATGGGGTCTAATATGTGATGATTTATTTGGGCTGCGAGATGCTGAAGTTGTCTGCAGAGAACTGGGATTTCCATTGGGGGCAGCAAAAATATTGCCACCTGGATCATATATTAACCGTGACCACACAGAAGATGCAATATTTCTGGTGGATGACCTGATGTGTCTCGGCAATGAAAGTTCTATCCTGGAGTGTGAATTTGAAGGCTGGGGAGTGCACGATTGCCTTCGTGAGGAAGTAAGTATTATTATGCATGTTTTGCACAAAGTGAACACATACATAAATTGTGTTTAATTCTAAAAATAATTGAATGTATAGACACTAAACATTGTCAGGAAAAATGTCATTCATGGAAAGAGACATCTCAGAAGATGAAAGCATAGATGGAACTTTAATATTAAAATGTGCCTTATAGAAGAAGTTTGTGAGGATTTTAACTGGCTAGTGTATGTCCAGATACAGGCTTTTGCAGTCAAGGGCAAAGAATAATTCTCAACTGTATGTTTGTCAGGCTGTAAGTGTGATGTGCAGCGTGCCAGATCAGATATGTGCTTCTGGCTTCTGGAAGTGTGAAAGCACCATGGAGTGTGTTCCAATTGCATACCTCTGTGACAACATAGATGATTGTGATGATGCAAGTGATGAAGATCCCACTTGGTGTAACGTGAGTGTAATATTTAATTGACAAGGTAAATGCACATGTGAGGGGTAGTTGGCAATCTTAATGTGTTTTGAAGAAGGTAGAAAGAAAGTGCTTTGATATTACTCTCAACTAAAAATTTCATGTTATTTCAGAAGCTGATGTTACAGGACCAATAATTAGAGTGTATTGTCAATTAAGTATTTAATATTTTTATTCAATGTTAATGTAAGTTTTTTAAGATAGTTCTGATCTGTTGCTGTTATAATTTCATCAGTATCATGACCATTACCTGCAGCATTGCTTTTAAACTTGGTCCTTATTATCCAGCGGGTAACCAAAGAGTGTGTGTGTGTGTGTGTGTCAGATCTAACTGTATTTATACTATAAAATTAATTTTAAACTGAAGGTATAGCTTAAAAAGATGGTCATATAAATTATCATGTGGTCAGAATTGTTAAGAAGCTTATAAACGCTTTTGTACACCTCCACTTTATACCAATAATGACCACACTGGCCTAACAGATTGTAGTTCAGACAGTCCATTAAAATAAGTAAGTTTTTAGCCTTTTCCATGATACAGAAATTCTGAATTCTGTTAATATCATTAATTTTCTCTGTCAGTGAAAATAAACTGTCTTGACCTCCGTTGACAACTGAGGATGTTTGTGACATTTTATCCATTGAAATTATGAACTGACATCAAAGCATACAAACATGCAGTGATATTTATTTTTAAATTAAACTTGCACAGAATGTAGACACATAAATACATACTTAAAAATAATGAGGAAATTGTAGCATTAGACTGTGAGATTTGAGGTTCTCTTGGCATTGATAATGTCAGTGTTTGTTTGTCTTCTAGTGTGAAGTACTGTGTGAACCTGTAGGTAGATACCAGTATTTCAGAGAAATTTTGGTATCTTCTTACAGGACCACACAGTGTTACAACGCAGATGATCATTAATGTAGCACTACAGTGTTGAGAAAAATTTGGAAATATTATTGTACCAGTAAACCTATTCAATGTTTCTTGACTCCAGGTTTTCCTTCCTTTATTTTTCAGTTTTATTAATCAAAAATCAATGATCTTGACGTGAAATTTCTTTCATTTAACGTTCTCTTCAGTTAGTGCTTGTCCAGACAAACCTTTAATTATATTTTCATTGTACTGGGAAGGAAGATATTCAGGATTATGTTGTTTACTGACATTTGTGTTTAAAATTCATTTACAGTCACCAATAGAGCTGCGACTGGTGGGTGGAACAAACAACATGGAAGGGCGTGTGGAAGTGCGGTACCATGGAATATGGGGGACTGTTTGTGATGATGACTTCACAGTTCCTGCTGCTACAGTCATCTGTCGTTCACTGGGATTTGGTGGTCCAGCACAGGCCAAGAAGGATGGCTTTTTTGGCCCTGGAGAAGGTCAGATCTGGTTGGACCAGTTACATTGTACAGGCAACGAGACAGGAATAACAGAGTGCCTGCATTCTTATTGGGGTGAGCACAACTGTCAACACAGTGAGGATGCAGCAGTTATCTGCATGCCCGGAGACATTCGTCAGTCACTGGTAAGCTCTAAAATAACAGCTGTTCAAAATATTTTTAATGTTTTCAGCACAACATTTCATATATGTCTACACCAACAGTGTTATGACAAAAAGAATGAGCAAATGCACCCATAGAAAGGTGTTTAAAGATGCAGTTTGATTATGCATTATGTGAGCTTGCTGCCTAGATATTTGTAATGGACTTTAAACTGAGGAAATGTGAGCTACACTGATATATAATAGTGGGAACTAGACAACATTTTTGATTTTAAACATGTAATATGTATTATTAGTATTTTCGTTAAATCACTGAGCTATATGCAAATATTGTCTCGGGCACATAACATCTACTGTAGATACTTCTATAATATTTATTCTATACATATTCCTCTCTGCTTAACACTTAGTAAAATGTGCCCAAAATAGGTATTTAGGTCCTTTAGTAATATCAGTCTTAAAATTTATTGAAGTGAATGGTACTCAGACATAGTAATACTTATATGTCATTAAAATTAATATGTGATTAATTTTTGTAAATCATTAAATATAGTAACTAATTTGATGGAAACAAGGCCATTTTCAGAGGCTGATAATTGCTCACATTCTGTGCCTTTTATGAAACCCAAAGGGGCACTACTGAATTCACAAGAGCCTACCAATGGGCCCTTTTCCAAGCCAGATAAATCTGGTCCTCATCCTCACACCATATTTATTTAAAGTTAATTTTAATTGTTTCCTTCCATCAACATCTCCCAGCTGATGTCTTCCATTTATATTTGTAACAAAAATTCTGTGTACATTTTTTTTTATTAAGCAGGTCTGTTATTAAACCTGTTTGTGAAATGTGTGACACAAATTGAACATATGTTAATTTTGTTTTGTGAATATTATGCATTAGACTGCATTATATTCTTGTTAATTACTAGAGTTATTTCTTCAAACATACTTGAAGATTTCATGTGATCCTGTGTATTTAGAACCCACATGAGATGGATGCTGAATCTCGTACAAGTGATGTTCTGCTAGTCAACAACATTCTTCCATCTGATTGTGGCAAAAGAAGCGTAGACTACATGAAACTGGCTGATGACCAGAAGGCTCGTGTTGTGGGGGGCTACGAGGTGCTAAAGGGAAGCTATCCATGGCAGGTAACAAGTGAAAGGTTAAGTTGTAAGTTCTTGTGACTCATTTTGTCTGAGCAGTAGAATCATGAATTAATGTTATGATGCTTTCCATGTAGCATTCAGTTTCTGTGGTCCAAGAACCATTATCTCAGTGTTATGTTTGCTACATTTAAGGTTTGTTTTCTTCTGAATTTAGTGTTCATGTCCATGGTTACTCAGAGAAAGGTTAAATAGGGATATCACTGTGTATATTGTCCAGTAATCTAGGTACACAAGAGTACAGTTGGTACTCCAGTTCTTTTCATTACTAAAATAATCACTTTGTATTCAAACATCATCATGCATCACGAGTATAAAGGTTTGTGATGATGGTGTATTATTACAGTAGCAAACTTCTTGGACGTTATCTGTTGTCCTAGTTGTAATTTAAAATTACATTTTGGATATCATAATCTGTCCCCATCCTCAGGTGAAACCTAGTCACTAGAGCTAGTGACTGTCTCCAGAAATAAATTCCAATCTCCAAAACATAATTGTTAATTAATATTAGGATAATGGATAATGTAAAAGAAGTTTGTTATTGTAATGACACCATGAGGTTTGGATGAAGTTAGGATTTAAGACAGGTGTACATTTCACCTTAAATAATTTGAAAATATTGTCAGTTAATCAAGTGCTTTTTTAAATTTACAGTCAGTTTTTACTGAGCTGCTGGCATAAAAATTTCCATATTGTGAACAGTTCTAATATTCAGTCTTCAATGTCTCTTTGCGCATTCTCTTTTAATTCGCTGTAAATTTTCCAAAAATGTTTGCCTTCCAGTAATCGTTGCATAGTGCTCCAAGTTCAGTTATTGCCTCGCCTAAGTTGTATAGTACAAGTGGCAGTGAGTACATTATCAGAATCTCTGTGCTCAGTTAAGGCACCACCTCTGGCCAGGCACTTAGCTGGACTCAGAGTAAAGAAGTTAACTATTATATTCTTGTTACTCATGATCTGTATATTAATTCTTTCAGTAGTACTGCCTTGTAGATATATTGTAATGTGAAATTTTGTGTTTTATTGGACAACTCTTGTTTGAACAGGCAAGTGTGAGGGTGAGAACGGGAGGGAAGTCTGTACATTGGTGTGGAGCAGTAGTGATCTCACCTCTCCATATTCTCACTGCTGGACACTGTATGCAAGACTACACCAAGGGTGCCTACTTTATCAGGGTTGGAGATCATGACACAGAGGTGCGTAGAATTTCACATCTTTGTCAGTTCAGACAGTAATTATATTGCATTCTCAAATGTAAATTATATAATTAATGCACATGTCTTCCACAATTGATTTTTGCAAATACATTGCATTGAAAAACTATTTTTAAATTGCAGTTGAAGAGTAGCTTAATGAGATTTATACTTCATGTTGTATGTCAGTTTTGGTACAAAGAAATAGTTTCTGAGAAAATGATGTAGTTTGGTTTCAATTTTGTGTTCTACAGTGACACTTTGTTGTTAAAATTTGAAAATATTGCCATTAGACAATTCATTTTATATAAACTAGAAGAAGTAAGAAGAATTAATGATATCTGTATTCAATTTTATTGCTTCCATCAGAATAAAAGTCAACCAAACTTATCAGTTAAAATTTATGTTATTTTGAAATACTTCTTTTTCTGAAATCTCAGTTCAGACGTAGTTGTGTCACTTCAGACTAATATGACCTCAGTCAATAATGGATAATTTATGGGCACACACATAGACATAATGCCATTATAAGCCTCAGTTTGCATGTAACATACTGCGAAAAGGCTAAATGATGTTGTTATTATATATAAATGACAGCTGGTACATATGCACAACATCTGTAGACGTAATATCTAATTACTTACAGATGGCTTTGAAGATAAAATGTATAATGGAACTTATCAGGATTGTATGATATTAATGGTTGTTGTTTTCATACAGGAAGTTGAAGGAACAGAACAAGAATTGAACATTGATGAGATATACTTGCATGAGGAGTTCAACAAGGGCATGCGTCTAAACAATGACATTGCTTTGGTAAAAATGAAGGGGTTGGGGATCCGGTTAGGTCCGGAGATCATGCCTGCCTGTTTACCACATCATGGTATCCAGTACGCACCAGGTCTCAACTGTACCATATCAGGCTGGGGCTCAATGAAAGCAGCTGGTTCAGGTGAATGCAACAAACATTTAGTAGGAAACCTCAGATATGGAATATAGCATTTATCTGTAGATTTAATTTATTTCATATTATCCATAATATGTACCATATTCTGAGGCGTGGGCCTTGTGCCACTTGGTCGCTGGGACCGTGGGTTCGAATCCCACTCAAGCCATGGATGTTCTTCTGTGTTGTGCTGTCCTGTGTACAGGTAGAGGCCTTGCGACGGGTCGATCCCTCGTCCATGGAGTCCTACTGACTGTCTATAGATCAAGCCAACGAAAAGTTGGGACCCGCAGTGCTAAGGCACTTGAAAAACGGTTCGTTCCCAGTATATACCATATTAAACATTTTTTCAAATACATGTACATTATGTTGAGGTCTATATATTATGTTGTGTATGTTTTACCTTTTACTTTTTGTGAGAAAAATGAGAAAATATGATTTGAGTTTCATCGTAAGTAGAGATTATATTGGACTGGACAGGTAATGACCAAAATTAAATTGACTGAATAACTTTCAGTGTAGATTTTGAATGGTAATTTAATAAAAATCCTGTCAGTGCGATTGGAGATAAAACATGCACATGGATGGACCAACACAACTCCCTGCATTACACATTCTTTTCATGTGTTTAAGTAAAGAACACATAAAGAAGATACACAAATTCGTACCGTGTGTTTTCTTCAAACACAACTGTGAAAGTGCTACCAATATGACAGATTCCACAGCAGTGGAATTTTTCTGAGAGACTGGTAGATGTGTTTATATTCCTATAGAAATTCAGTTTGTTGATTTTCTAACATTTAGGTACCTAAATAAAGATGTTTGTAGCATAATTGCATCCATTCTGTGTTGTATACTTGAATTTCTCATATAATTACAGATTAGTAGAGTCCACAGAAATGTGAGAATATTAGTTCTGAAAGTACGAACACTTAATGATTTAGGCTACCCTAACCCTAATTCTAAACCCTGATGATGGAGGCAGGGGTAGTTTCTGAAATGTTGAAAACTTTATTGTGCCCTTAACAGCGTTGGTTGCTTCAGAAGACTTATTTGCATTCATTCACTGTGGAACCTTCAAATGTTATATAACTCTAATTCTAACCATGTTTTTAGGACATGAAATAGTGTTTAGTTATCTAAGATTTGAAGCTCTCACAGCAAAGATATTGATTGTGGTCTTGTGGTTTGTAACACTACGTGGTCTTGCAGGTGTTTATGAAGGTTCTGGATGAAAATAGTTCCTTCTACAGAGAGAATAAATGTTGGTAACTGCTTACAGGAACACAATGCCATAACTCAGAAGACGAGAAGTGATGTGTTTAATTGGGTTTAGGCTGAAAGTCAAGTGTGCTGACTCTTAACTGTTCTTCTATCACATACAGGCTATTCCCGTCATCTGAGGGCCACTTGGATCCCCTTGCTGCCCCATGAAACATGTAAGGCCAGCTTTGTGTATGGCACAAAAGCAGTAGGAGAGGGGATGTTTTGTGCTGGTATGCTGGAAGGCGGAGTGGACTCCTGTCAAGGGGACTCAGGAGGACCTCTTATCTGTCTCATTAATGGTAAGATACCATTTATTTCAGGTTATTGAGTTTTTCCATCACTTATAGGTTTCTTCTTTTCTTTTATTGGTGTATAACACAAGAATAATTCACATGGCATTTTTTAATGATGCAGCAGTTGCATGTTGATGGACATTGCTGTTATACAGGCACATCAGGTTAATTTGTTATTTCCTGATGTTACTGTACCAAATCCACCATTTTTTGACTTTCTAATCAGTGGCACCACTCTTTACAGATTTTCCACAAATATATTTAAATGAGTCAGCTTTGTCTACATTAACATCTGTAGCCAATTGATAGTTCACAAAGCCATAATTTTTTATATACATTCTTTCTATTACTTTATTTTACCACTCCACACATTGAAAAGTATGGTTACGTAGAAGAAGATGGCTATGTGTATATGTAGTGCTCATTACTACTACTACTACTACTACTGCTGCTGCTACTGCTATCATTATCAAAATTCTTTTCATCTATGAAGAAAATAAAATCAGGTTTAAGAAGCTGTCTCACAAACAAAATGTCATTTGTGTCATTTAAAAAACCTTCGTATACAAGTCAGTGGCAAGAGAAATGTTTACAAATGTGCAGCAGTAGATATTTTTTTAAGTCCTCTGGAGTGATATTGGAGTAGTGATTAAATAAACTAATACTGCTTATTGCTAAATATCTTTAGAAGTAAATTTGGTATAGGTCAGTGGATATGTTCCCTATCCCTGCATTTACACATTAACCCTGCTCCTTTGCTAAATTTACGGATTTTATATCCTGTTCCTCCGTTGAAGTTTATATAATTCTGCAGGTGAATTTACATTATATGGAATCACAAGTTGGGGTCATGGCTGTGGAAGACCAAACAAACCTGGTGTGTATTCCAGTGTCAGCTTCTACAGAGACTGGATTGATAATAAGCTGGAAGACTCCATGTCAGGACACTAGCAGGTAATAATAACTTAAGTTATGTCTTCTCACTAGTCATATAATTTCCTGAAGGCTTGTCATCAAAATGGAAACTCATCACTTGACTTTATTCTGAATAATTTCAGTCAGTAGTTAGCACTCCTACTTAGTATGTAGAAAGTCTGGATTTTATTCTTAGGCCAGCTATACTGACTGAAATTTTTCTGTGGTTTTCCTCACTCCTTTCAGCAGAATATATTGTTATGTATTATATAAAATCCAGTTTGATGTTTCGTTGGATATTTCTCAGGTTACTGTCACAGTGGCTTAAAATTTCTCGGTAATGGTGATAGATAGAAATATGATCTATTTTACAAGTGTTGCTATTGTTGACAAAAATGTTGCAGTTGGTATTTTTCTTTCTTATTCTGTGTTCAAAGGGGTGGTAAAAGAACACAGGAGACGGGAAGGTAGGAGATAAAGGTACAAAAGGGATAAGGAAAAGCTGAAAGGGGGTAAAGGATGAAGATGTGAAAGAAGTCATTCTTCATTGACTTAAAACAGACCTTTTTCACTAGTAAACCAAAATATTAGGTAATAGTCTTTTTGTACACTTAAAACAAAATTCTATCATTGTTAATAACTGATATAAAAGTTTGTCCCGCTACGTGCCGTACAGGCGCTTGGGGTGAGTGGAGGTATAGCTCCTCTCTTTCTTCCCGTCAGGGATCGAACCCCGGTCGTCCAGCCCGTAGCTAGTCACTATACTGACTGAGCTATCCCGGCTCCTGTTAATAACTGATATAAATTTTGTAAATGCATTAACTACGGAATTTCATATATACTCATTTGTGTTTCTTCAGCAAAGGAATTACTGCACCTTACTGTCTCATTGTATGAAATTTCAGGTGTGGTCTGTTTATACTTTTGCAAAGGGGTTATCAGCCTTTTACAAGTGTGGGGCCATTTGATTCTATCTGATTAACTTAAGGGCTGCCAAATTATAAATTACAATGCATTGAAATGTTATGGTAGTTTATTGAAATTCTACTAACATATTGTCACAGACAGGTTCACAATTACTCACTAAATTTCTTTAACAAATTTGTTGTTTTCTTATTTTTATTAATTACTGACTGAATTAAATTTTTAATTTAAGTGGTAACTACTGTTTCTTCATTATACATAGCAATATGTTACTACAAAAATGTAAATGAGCCACACAAAACACATTGGCAGGATGTTCTAGAATGTGAAACTTTCCTATTTTAAATATTAATTTTTCTGTTTTCTGTTTTCAGGGTTTTGTCTTTTGATTTATGCACGTACTTCAGTACCTAATCAGGTATTATCCTCAATGTTCATTAACATTTATTTACTTTACATTGTACTGGACACCAACATAACTGAAGAGTTAAAACCACTTCATAGCGGAGGTTAAAAGTTTTTAAAATTATTATAGATCTTATTCTGCAGTTGGAGATCTTTCACTGGCTTTCAGCTTTTAGGATGAAAGTGAAGGTCTCGTGTCAACATGGAGGTAATGGATGGAACTTGTTTTTGTTTGTGGAACTGCTTCACATTGCTGTCTGATTCCAACTGTGTGACACGCCGGGTTGTCCTTGTTAGTATCTGTAGCAAATTATCAGTTGAATTTAGCTCCTTGCAGAGAGACTGGATGAACCAAGTTCCTGTGTCCAGATTACGAAATGAATAGAAGCCTGTGAAATTAAGAAATATGTCTCATTGCCATGATAATGATCATTGGGTTGAAACAGAGGAAATATGCAGGATCTGAGGTTTTCAAAGTGATGTGAATTTGTATGTAGGTGTCTTCTGGGTTGTTACTTGTTGTATTTTGTCTGCATGCCTATTGTGCTTTAGAATTGCTTTGTAGCTCGTAGTGATTTACTGTAAACGTTTTTATTTAATTATACTGTACCTTCCATAGTGCTATATGCAATTAGAAAATCAGCATGAGTTGGGATCTTGTATGGGGATGGGCTGGAATCAAACTCTGTCCGTGTACCTCTTTGTTGTTTCATCTTGATTCCTGCATCCAGCTCCCTTCCCCGACATGCCTGAAATATAAAATTATTTCACAGCTGATTTTGCAAAGAAGTATACTTAATATCTCACAAAGTCACTGAACATGTTTAAGACACATTCAGTCCTCAGTTTAGTTATTTTTGTCTTATAACTTCAGTTGATTGGTATGTTTGATAGTTTTTAACAGCTGATGCATATAAGGTGTCATGTAGAAGTAGGCTATATTACTGACGCTTCAGAGACTTTTCTGCGTCTTCAAGTCTAAGTAACTAGTCTGATGTCTCTCCCAGTACTGGTACTTGTAGTACAGGTCCACAGGTCAGTGAGACAAACTTATAAATGGCTGGATGGGGGATGAATGAGTAGGATGTCTGGAACATTGGGAAACCTGAGTGGAGGGTGCAACTAGGGGCAAAATAGGGATACTGTTATATTAGCGAAACAGCCCCATTACAACAACAGCCATTTGTGAATCCACCTACATCAGAACTTCAGTAGGAAAGAATGACTTTTCTTTGGGTCATCATGAATATGTATTCGAAAGACCTAAGTAACTTTTTTCTTAAGATGGCTGTCTTGCTGCCCAACAACCCAGAAGACAGCTATCTTCAGACTCACTGCCTTGAAAACCTCAAATCCTACAACTTTTTTATTCTGGTCTATGGGAATATATTATACTCATAAGATTATCATACTAAATGAACAATGTCAGTATTTCAGTACAGTAGAAAAATCTGTGCAAAAAGTGGTCCATTTTGGTAGTATAGAAATAAATGGCTGTGCCTGTATGAAGAAAAGTTTGGGCTTTCCAGCCAATGTAGGACACTTGTCAGCTGTAAAAGGTTTCCAGAGTATATCCACACTGTAGAATATGCTGCTGTCTCGAGGTACAAGAAGTCCATTCTCTTCTCCATGTGTCAGTACTATCACTGCTATGCAGTCAGCATCTGAGTGGTCTTCCTCAGCCACTAGAACAAAATTAGAATATTATAATCTTTTTATTATTTTTTTGGTTTCCAATTTATTTTCTTGCTTATTTTTGAAAATCTGAAGGCTTTTGTATTATTTACTGATGGATGCTTCTTGTGAACATGGTGATGAACCTTAAAGTTCCATAAAAAGTAGAGAATTTCTTGACTAACAGTGTGTGTTGTTAGCTTTTTAGGAAGGACTCAGGATATACAGTGAAACATCGATACATCGTATTTTACGATGAATAAGGGAAACCTACAGTTGCGGGAAATAATTAAAATGAAAAATAATATAATGCATTTTTCTCTTTGGCATACATAAAACAATACACATAAAACTTATTTCAAAGTTACTTCTTTTTGCCCAAGAAGCATTTAATGGACATCTGTTTTGTCGAAACTTTGAGTTGAGTTTTAGTTGAAACAGGGCCCTTTCTATGTTAAAAATGTTTTCTTTATCACCTTTACAAATATTGTGCTCATAGAAGAATTCACTTTTGCACCAATTCAGCACGTGCTTCGGCAAAACTCGGATATACTTCGGGCTCACATTCGTCGTCTTCCGCTTCCGCCCCTTTCGCGAATGTCACACGAGCCATAGATGGTGTCGAACGTGCACGTGGCAATCTCGCTGTGCGTCTTTCGATATTAATTTATATTTTAAATTCGAAGAACATTGCGTAAATTTCGTTATAATTTCTCAGAAACGATCAGTGCGGGAAAATTGTTGGCCAGGACTAAGGTTTTCGAACGAGTGATACGATAAAACGACAGTAGTTCGGGGAACGATGGATGGAGGTTTCACTGTCTATCACCAAGGATTTACACAACGGGAATATATATTTTGTAAGTGTTGTAGAAATCCATAAAATATATTTGGTTTTTTTTAGTACTTGCATCGTATATGCTCGTTTTAAGAAAATCACAGTTATAGTAACAATACCCAATAAGTATCTGCCATTGAAAATGGTTCCCAAGCTCCTACAATCACAGTGTCATATAGATGACTTCTGATCAATCTATAATACAGGTAATATAGCTGGACAGCAGACAAGTATCATACTGAACTGAAATGGACCTTTTCAGTGCCAGACCACAGTGCTCATTTTCCTGTTCTTGTTACATTAAAATTCTATATGTATCTTACACTCAGTGTCAACATGAAAAGTATCCAGACTTTTGTAAAGACTTCTGTGGTAATAAGTTCTGAAAAACAAGTTTATTTCTGCTGATTCTACTTGATTTTCACCAGTGTATTTTATTAGATACATAATACCTTGCAATGTATGAACCAACCAGTAAATCATCCAATACTTATTAATAGAACACATCTGGTATCAGACCCCACCATTAACATGATCTTCAGCTAGTTCAGTCATTCACATCCTCACTCTGTGTTTCCCTGCAATCCATTTTTATATTATCCCATTTATTTATGAGCATTTCAAGAGGTCAGTTTCCAAGGGATTTGATTTTCCCCACATCATCAGTGATTAAAGGTCTACATACATGCAGTTATAACTTTTTTGATCTTTGAATACTCCAGGTTGTTATGAATGGTGACATCAAATAGAAGGGAACTGAAGGCTTCTCGTAAGTTTTCAACATCAATGTGAGATCCTTCTCTAGGTGCATAATTTCTTGTTTCAAACATGTCATGGTTAAAAATGACAGCATGGCCCCTCCGTTTATGCTGCATGTTGTATTCATCTGCGTTCCAGTCCACAGGCATATCTGCTTCCACTGCTATACATCTGTACATGGCAAGGTTCATAAAATCCAACAGTCTGACTGCTTTTGGCGACACAGTTGTCTTACTTTTTTTAACAATCTCTATTATATTATCATAATTTCATCATAAATTATAAGAATTTATAAAATCTATCTGAAAATGTCGCAGACTTACAATGCTTAGACACAACATTAACAGATCAAAATTATATTCATTTTGAAATTCTTATCAAATTAAATTTGTAATATATTTAATGGTGTTTTACACTGAGTCTTTTAACTTCCTTTCTTGTCTTTCTAAACATAAAGACAAAATTATATAGGACTTTAATTGTACCTGCTCTTTGTCTGGGTTTGAGACTCAGTTTCTGATTGTGAGAAGGGAAGGAAGAAGGGAAGAACACTGATTAAGGACACTTGAGAACAGTGCTGAGGAGAGGCATATTGATGTTAGAAGAATGAGATGGGTGGGGCATGTGGCACGCATGGAGAGGCAAGAGGTGTGCACTTGTATTGATCAGGAAGCCCGAGGGGAACAGACCGTTGGGGAGACTAGACATAGATGGGAAGATAATCAGGATCTATCAGAGATAGGAAAGGAGACTGGGTTTTGTTGGCCCAATACAGGGTTTGGTGGAGGGCTTTGGTTAGTTCGGTGATGAACCTTTGGGTTCCGTAAGCCATCTAGTTAGTTAGTTATACACATAGTGAGTGTTACAACCCGTAAGACCATCATCAACATCAACATCTTCACTGCCATGAAAACCTCAATCTATGTCAGTGCTGAGGAGAATATCTCAGTATAACAGCAGATTAACAGAATAATGGAGAAAATTTCACAACTGTTGCCTTTTATCTGATATTCATGTGATTAAATCAAAATTATCAGCTGGGCAGTGAAAAGTGTCATGGGAAGACCATTTTGGAGGTGTATGTGTGGATGAGATGAAAAAATTGAACTTCATCATACAAGCAGGTACTTATCCATCCACCTTTTCCTGACAGCATTAACACTTGTATCATGAAGGTAATGAATATATAACAGTGATCTGTGATCAAACCTAAAGGGTCTACCATTCTACAAATTTACATGAATTTTAATTGAAAATATTGTATAAAATGCACTGGTTATATAATGTTTACTGAGAAATGGCAGAGGCTTATGAAAGGAAGACCACAGCAAATTGGATTCAAAGCTAGGAACAACAGTTCAATTTGAGGTGCCCAGGTGAATGATAATATTTGTAGTTCACTTATTTAACCTAAACATAGATGCAGTGCCATGAAAAAGTAGGCACTATAATAGCATTTATATGTGCTCTGATAACTTTATACCTATAACTTGGAAAATATGTAGGAGATTCCAGCTGTGGCCTGCTTTTTAATTAAGAAAATATTAGTCAGGTTAGACAGTTACCTGATGGGGATTTGATCTGAGGGATCTCTTCAAATATGAAGCAAGAATGCTAACCACTACATGATGTTTACTTTTACCTGGAGTCATCCTTGTAGCTACTATTGGCTTCCAGTGGTGTAGATGGAGTTGCATCGGTGACATCTTTGGAGGATCTGTCATCAGATGTCCATGCTTGTTCCTCCTGATTCCATTCCATGCTAACAGTTGGCTTCATGTCTAGGGTTGTTGGTCGCTCAGCCCCACCCACAGCCTTGTCAACTTCTGTGATTTTAGTCTCCTTATCATTAACTTCACTATGTTTATCACCAATATAGTCTACCACATCTGAACTTCTACGTTGAGTCGACTGAAATTCAACATGTATATTCAGCGTTTTGCTGGTGCTTCTTTCTGTAAATACTGATGCTTCACCAATACTATCAATTACATCTGATCCACGCCTTTCTTGATGTGGCTTAAGTTTTGTTTGTATCCCTGTGCCTTTAGCATTGATATGTGTTTCTGTTTCAGCTTCAGCAGTAGCTCTTGTACTATGTTTCTCCATTCTTACTATCACATATTTTGTTAACTCTGAAGTTACCTTCTTCGTAAAATCAGTGTCTGTGGGAGTTTACCTACACAGTGATTTAAACAATCATGAGTTTTATGAAGCTGTATGAACTAATAATTTATTGCCGAGTTTGAAATGGTTGAATGAACATGAAGAATGTGTGAGGATGATGTGGAATGAATCAGTTGTTAATTACTTTAATGTTGTGGTTATTTGTCTGAAGGTATTGAAAAAAATGTTAGAATAACCTACCTTAAGATTTTAAGTTACTGTCTTTTGAATGTGAGCTAGATATGAGATGAGCTAACTAGTTTGATATCTGCAACAAAGAAAATGAGGAACAAATATGGGCATAAAAACACAGGCTCTTGAAAACTCATTTCCTGTGAATTGCCATCACATAATCAGTTAGTCTTATCTTGTGGATGTGGTATGAAAGATAGGACAGTTAACATGGTAACATGTGCATATCTAAATTCCCAGAGCTTTTAAACTAAATTAACCCTTGGTACCTGCTATACTGCAACATATGACATTCCATGAAGTGTAACTTACTCTTTTGTTTAAAACTGAAAACTGTTGGAATGTGATTTTTCTTTCATTGTTGGCTTCTTTTAGGTTCATCTGTTTCATGACCACAAAACCACTTGTGCCAGTATAAGTGTTTGCTGTTTTTAGTTTAATATTTGTTAGGATTAGCAGACCGATTCCAGTATTATGGGAGAATTGATTTTCATAAACATTGGACCATCTCTGAAATTTCAACAAAAAGTGATTTCCATGAATGTCAGACTGAGTCCCAACATTGGAACAGTTGCTGAACTGTGTCAAACAGACAATCTGAAAGGGTTAAACTGAAGTAGAAATGTTGGGGTGTGGAGATTCTGTGGGCTTGAAAAATACAGCATAGCTTCCTTGTCTGCCATTCTTTCCAGTTAACCTAACAAATTATACTTTCATAGCACTTGCTGCTAAATAACCTCAGAAGTTGATAAAGTATAGTTACATGATTTAAAAGTTCAAAATTTTTTGAGTTGTCATCACAACTATTTGTGCACAACATTCTCACTAATAAGTCCAGCTTCAGTGTATTTATGTTCATTGTGCACTCTTTGTGAACAGTGCATGAAAGGAACATGTATGAGGAAGTCCTGTCTGTCTGCAGGTTTCATTTTCAATGCTGAATGGATTAAAAAAAGTATTAAGGGTCTGCACTAATATTTATCAGGTACATTTAATCTTCAGTTCATATTGGCCCCATGTACATGAATTTGAACATGTTTTTTCTCAAAAGCAGTCCATTGTACAAACAGTTGATGTATAATATCAAGTATATATATCCCTAGCTTCGTAACAATGGATTTGTTTGTATGTAACAGATTAACATCAAGGCCAATGAAGTGCAGAGATAATGCATTGCATCTGCTTAATTCACAATGATAATCTAGTAAGGAAAAGATAATTTCAGTTATTCTTTATATTTATCAATCCTTTGTCTTATGCTATCTTTGGTTCTCTGTTGACAGACACCTCTTTTGTATTCTTTGTCTGTCACAATATATTCCAGTTGTAAAAAAAAAATTTACAGTATCATAATAGGTTAGAAAGAGGCATACTCACATACAGGTTCATAAACATTCTGTAAACAAACATAAAATTTTGTGAAAGGGTTAAAAATGGCTTGTTAACAAGACTGTTTGATAAAATATTGAGAAATGTAACTTCTGTCATTTTTGATTGGAATTTGTTTAATGAGCCAGTCACTGCAGTCTAAGGCATAGGTCTTGGCTGCTGAAAAATTAGGATCATGGGATCGAGTCCCACTCGAGGCATGGGTGTGTGTCGGTGTTTTCTTGTTTTATGCTTCCTTGTGTACATAGAAACCTTTTGACAGGCTTACTTCACCATCCAAGGGTCCTAACAAATGTGGTTAAGGTTAGGACGAAGTATAGGAGGTGTGGGTGTAACACTCCATTGGTTAGGGTTAATTGACAGAATATTCCTTCAAATAGTCTGTGGCCCCTGAGTCCTTCCAAATCCTTACATGCTCGCCAATCATTGTCATTAATCATCTCAATCTCTGACTGCCGTGTTGAAACATTTCCATTAAATAACTTACTGATAAACTTCGCATTCTGGCTACTATCACTCCCAAAGGAAATTCACATATCCCTTGTATCCAGTGGATAGATTGCATGGCTATGGAATTTTGTTTTGAAAACAAAAATGCCATTGCCACTGCTGACAATAAAACCACAGACATCCAGTTTGTAGCCTGTCTGTCCAGTACTGCACAAAATAAACAAAGAAACAGTAAGTGTTATGACTTACCAGAACTGTAAGTGTTATGACTTACCAGAACTGTTTTGCTGTCACTGTCACCACTCTAACAGAATGTGAAATTTGTCTGGCTTGCAAAAGCACTGCATCACATTCTAAGCTTTACATTGTTTTCGTGCTATATATGGTGAGAGATAAGGCCTGTCATTATGGCAAGAGCATGTATAGATATCTAGACACCTCCCACTTTACTAGGAAGACTGATATAAATAATCTTTCCAATTAATTGTCCCAGTTTCATACATTACAGTATTTCCACCTGTTCATGTTTTATGCACAATTCAGACTTACATTCGAGAAGCTTGTTCAGTTCTTCTGATTTGGGCTTTGTTAGACTACTTTCCTTATTTTATAAGAAAAGACAGGCTTATGGCATGTCTATGTCTACCCACAATTGAGAGATTTTCACAAAACTTGGTATGAATGTCATGGGTAGCGTTGGTATAATTTGTTATGAAGTATTTGTCATTAAAGTGGAAGAATTAAGGCAGCAGTATTAATTCTGAGTTACGGGAGTTTAAGAAGAACGTGTTTTTGGCTTTCTGAGATTATTGAAGCTGATAAAACTAAAATAGGATGTAAGAAATATTGCACTTTGTTTATATTGTGATTGCGATTTATGTTTTGTCTGCTTGTAAAATCATAAAAGAGCTTGAGATGTTTATTTAATACTGTCATAATAAACTTGTTGTTTGCACATTGTCACAAATACCAGCCTCTAAAAATAAATGTGCAATAGTCTGGTACATATAAAAATTAAGTCTCTGAGTGAATGTAGATATTGCCCATTTGAATGCTGTTGGCACACAAGCACTCAACAGAATTTTGAACGAAATGTGTCATTACATTTTTTAATGCTGCATATAGTGCGTATTTGTAGCAGAACATGAACATTTGATATTAACTGCGTAACTACTGTTTACAGACGGAGACATGACAAGGCAGTTTTGCTCAGCTCCTTGGTACTACTACACTTACCAAAACAACTGTATGGTACTAGAATGCCCAAGATTACCTGCTCCCCCACCGTAATTGCCTCAGCTTCCAGTCTGGACAGTACTCGATTAGTTTTCCATCATTTTTCAGTAGAAGACCTCCAGTGGGTAAGTGGTAACAAAGTGCATCTGCTGGCAGGGTTATATAAAACTCATATCCCAACTCCTGGCAGGAACTGCCTGACCTGCCACAGAATTTGTTTAGAACAGAATTTATTTATAATTTCAAGGTGCCTGTTGTGCTTAGAACAATGATTCTGGGACATTTATGGCAACACTGTTCAACAGTATATGAAACCATATCCACACACTGCAATATCCAGTACTTAACACGATCTTGGATAACGCTGCACTGTTGTATGAATAATTGTAGTGGCAGGTGCTGTTAGTGTTTTGAAATTAGTCTTCCAGCTCTTGCCTCCTGGGATAAGAGCATTGCATGTGACTGTGGCAATAAATGCACTGTAGAAGGGGATTGGTTTGTACTAAATAAAGCTGTGACTTTGGTCATGTGTTGTCGTTTTCAAGAAACTTTTAGTGAAGGTTTTACTTATTATTATTATTATTGGCCATCTGGCTGTTGATACAGCACACAAATAATAAAGAATTGAATTGAAGAATTGAATTGAATTATTATCCCATGTATTCACCACTTTATGGGGTATGTACTTCCATGTACCCGAGACAGACCTTGTCCCTAAGGTACATAGGGCAGCAGCTATTTCCGGGATCCATCTATTATTATTATCCCATCTCTTCACCACTTTATGGGGTATGTACTTCCATGTACCCGAGACAGACCTTATCCCTAAGGTACATAGGGCAGCAGCTATTTCCGGGATACATTTTGTTTTTAATATGTATTACATTATTATTATTATTAACAAAGATCATGTTTTGCTTACTGAGGTCAGTCAGCTTTTTAAACAATAATCATTGTTTTTTATTGTTTATTTAGTATAACATTTTATTTTGTATGTTGTTTGTCCAAAATTGAATTGATTTTTATTTAATTATTATTTTACTTATCCATAACATTTAGCTCATTTACTTATTAATTATTTTGCAATAAATCAGTATAGTACATTTATATATTCAGTTGTTTGCTTTTGTATTGTAATGTTTGTATTGTTGTTAGTGCTTGGCTGTTATTGGCTTTTTTGGCTGTTGTCAAGCACTTTAATAAATGAATTGAATTGAATTGAATTAGTCACCATTTTACAGGGTTTTTACTTCTGTGTACCTGAGACAAGCTTTGTCCCTGACATGTGTAGTGGAGCAGCTGAAATACATTTTGTTTTTTAATATGTGTTAAATACATTAAGGATGAGGGATTGTATGTTTCACATGAGCATCTTTTGATGTTCTATAATGGCAGTTTTCAGAAGTTCCCTAATGCCATGTTCACCTGAGATGTTGGCCAAGTATTGTTATGTATTGAGGATCAAAATAATTTTTCTCAGTTATTGACCATGTAACGCCACGTTTACATTTATACAGTTTATATTTATACAGTTAATTTTGTTATAGATTTAACACAATCATATTTTTCTTGGCTGATCAGAGTAATATACCATATGTGTCTTGCAAAAGCTAAAGGATAGGATATGTTTCAAGATCCATGTCATGTAAGTTTTGGACATTCTTATAGATTGACATACGTCTGAAGAGCATTTGAATATCTGTTGATAAATATAAAGATGGTTTTGTAGGTACTATTTAAAATTTTATGCATACTAATATTTTTACTCATAATAACTCTAGATCACAGGTTTTGAGTAGAGATGTGGGTCAGGATATTCTTTTTCCACAAGGTAAAGGCTCTGAGTAAGGAACATCTCCCAGTAAACTAGCTGTGACAAGTACTTGTCCTGATGGTATATATCATATCAGATACTTGACACTCATTATTCATATGGTCAGTTCAGAAATTGAAAGGCACAACAAGGTTAAAACACTTGAGTAAGACACTAAAAGTTGAATGTTATAACGTTGCATTTTAATCAGTTTAAATAATAAAAATCTATGGAATTTGAACCACTGCCTCACCGAACCCTAAAGTTATCAGTCCAGCGCCTAGACCCCTAGACCACCAGACATGATGTCATAATGCTGTTTAAAACTTCCTCATAAGTCATCTATGCGTAATGTAAGATATGAGGAAGTTTCAAAACGTGAGCTGGCATGAGTTCGGTTGCGTAGTGGTTAAGGTACTAGGGTTTGGTTGTAAGTGTGTCTAGTATTAAGTGTTCCGTGTTCAAATCCCCATGTATGCTATGTTTTAAGGTATCACCAGTGGCAGCAGCACACCAGCACAGTAATATATGATGTAATTAATGTTGATTTGTTGTGTTGTGGGGCGGAACCCCTAGAAAAATCCGGTTATAATAGAACATTCTTTTGTATAATTTTCCAACATTTTCTATCATTTTGTATCATTTGCTGTGGGGGGAAACCCAAAGAAATTCCAAAAAAAAAAAATTTTTTTGAATAGAAGCAGACAGGAAAAGAATCGCATTAATTTTTAAAATCTTTCAGAATAAGGAAAACAAATGAGCTTGAAGTAGTAACAAACTAATAAATCATTTTGTGGGTCTGGTTACGAGCGGTCTCAGGCTGGATGTGGTGCACTGACACACTGCTCTAGATATTCAGAATGAAGGATTTGGCTACTAGGGTGCAGCACCGGAAAGGAGTAGGAAACTGCATAAGTTCCTACAGTTACGTGTGCTTATGTTGCTAGTAATCTTGCAACAGAATCAGAAAATAACGTTGTAGAATGGTAGGCATACGGGAAACAATTTCTACGAGGTAAAGGCGTTCCAACTTGTCAAAACTCATGTGTGGGACAGTCAAGTATTTCTTGCGTTGCTTGTGTGAGCCTCTGGAGAACAACAGACTATGGCAAGATTTTGTAAATGCTGCTGAGAACGCTCATCTGCAAGCTAGAAATCACCGAAAAGAGACACAGATACAGAGATTGGGGAACGAAACCTTGTAGACACCCTGTACGTCCTCATACTTCGGCCTGTGTTGGCTTCTTCTTGGCCCACAACCTGTTCTTTACTCCCACCCCTAACCCCTCACCAGCTCCCCCTCCAACATTCACTTAATTACTACGTAAGTGGTTCTTCCAGAAAAGAACGTACTTTCACTTTGTTTCCGGCGTGGCTGTGCAGGAGGTAAGCTGCTGCGTAGAAATGCAGAACAATTTCCTTTCAGAGTAAAATGGAAGGCCAGTCCATGCGGAGATTTTATATTTGTAGATTTACTAATAGTTTCTTTATTTCCGAATATTAACTAAATACATGGTACAGAGCCGTTCTGCAAAAGCTGATGGTGGCTTGGCAGTCAAGAAATTCGCCGACCCTTCATTTATTGAACTAAATTGCTGGGTGTTGGTCATTTTTCTGTCTTTAAACATTACGTTCTGTAACCCACATAATTTTTGTTTGGAATAGTGATTAATTGCTACAGCAGCGAAATAATGGGACAGACAGTACGTCCGTGATTTACAAACTTCAATATAGCCGATTGTTCAGTTAGGACACGTGTATTATACAGCATTCTCGTTGGATTCAGAATATGGATGAAATTTCAGGCAGTCCCCGCGCTAAGGAACCTTCAGACGATCTTAAAGCGTGTCGCTGTTTATCCATAGAAGCAGTGTTATAATTGGGGAGGGGGTTACGTTTCCGAAATACCAAAAAATTACAAAGAAAAATAGAAATCAGCCATCTTATTGCCCGAAATAAAATGTATTTACACCAGAAATATAACGATGATTAGGCACGCTACCAAAAAAAATAAACAACGTAGAATTATAAATGAATATTGACATGATTACAATTTTCCACCTGCATGTATTGTGATATG